ACACGGGTGCATTCACATACATGCAGGCAACACACTCATACACATAAAATTAAAAAATAAAATACTAAAAAACAACTTCCCAACAGATTGAAAAGGCAGTCCACAGGACTGAAGAAAAATTTGTAAGTCATATATTTGATAAAGGACTAGTATCTAAAATATGTAGTGAACAATAACTCAGTGTTAAGAAAAGCATTTTGATTTTTAAAATGAGCAAACAGAGCTGGGGTTTAGCTAGAGGCAGAGTGCTTGCCTAGTACATGTGGAGCCTGGGTTTGATCTGCAGCAATATATATACAGGCAAGGACATGAACAGGTATTTCTCTAAAGAAAACATGTAAATGTCCAAAAGCACATGAAAAGATATTCCACATCACTAGCCATTGGGAAAATGCCAATTAAAGCCACAGTGAAAGACCAAGTTATACCTACTAGTATGGCCATTACTGTTATTTTTCAATATTTTATTATTTTTTATTTTGTGTGTATGAGTGTATTGCTTGCATGTATGTAAGTGCATCCGTGTCATGCAATGCCAGCAGAGGACAGAAGAGGGTGTTGGATCCCCTGGAACTGTATTTAGGACAGTTGTTAGCCACCATGTGGGTGCTGGGAATTGAACCGGGGTCCTCTGCAAGAGCAGCCAGTGCTCTTAGCTTCTGAGCCATCTCTCCAGCCCTGATTCCGCTATTTATTTTATGTTTATGCTGCATAGTCAATAAGATATTTTCTCCACAAGGAAGTTGCTGACCTGTGCACTCGGCTTTCATTTGTAAAATAGGCGTAACAACAATTGCTGTAGTTTAACAAATTGTTTCAACAAATGTCAGATATTATAAAATTAAATAAGAATTTAAAAAGTGGGGCTGGACCCAGAAGACCCGGGTTCAAGTCCCAGCACCCACATGCCAGCTAACAGCTGCCCATAGCTCCAATTCCAGGGGATCCAACAGCCTCTTCTGTCCTCTGTGGCCATTGCATGACACAGATGCACTTACCTGCACGCAGACAATACATGTATACACATAAAATAAAAATAATAAAATATTTTTTAAAAAGGAATTTAAAAAGTATAGATTGTTAAATATATTTCATGTGGTATAAAAAATACTGTTCTGTGGCCCATATTTATATGGGAGAAAATGTAGTTTGGTGTACCCCAGACTACAAGTGAACATTATTAATCCTTAATGTTGAGTCTAAAGGGGGGGATCCATTCTGTACTTACCATTTTGATTTCTCCAATAAGTGTTGCTTTTATAGTTAAAACAATCTCACATAATCAATACCTAAAAGAAAATTAACTTGAATTATGTTTTATTTAATATTTCTAGTTTTATCCTATTTTGCGGAGTTGTAACTTCTGTAGGAAGGGAAGGAAATGCCAGGTGTAAATTCTATTAAACTCAGAGCTCATTAATTTATAATGAGTTTCAGTAAGTCACACTAACACTGATACTACTGAAACTTCATGTCAGTAGAGCTTTGTTGAGGTTGTAAATTTTCAACCATGATAAACAGAATTAATAGAGGGAGCAAAATGAAAAATTCTTCTGTGCTGTATGAGTAACAAGACTGAAATGGGAAGAGATTCATTTCAGAACCTCGGTGGCTAATGTAACTTAAAAGTGTACCTAAGATTCTGTTACTTAGAGTTTTGCTTTGTTCGTTCTTTGGATCCGAGATCCATGTATTCCGTTTAGTGGCAGCAAAGTAAATGGTTGGGTTTCTAATTCCAAATATCTTCCTTCCTATTTCAGGAGACTATTTGGTAGCAATTGAGGAGAAAAACAAAACTACATCCCTCCGTGCTTATGTGAACTGGAAAAGAAAAAGGACTGAGAACTCCCGAGTGTGTATCCGCATGGTTGGGCACAATGTGGAGGCACCCTTCAGCGAGAGCTTCCGAGACCAGATGTCTATTATTGAAATGCCACTGTCCGAGGCTCCTTTGAGCATTGCATGTTGTCCTGTGAAAGGAGATCTCCTTGTTGGCTGCAGGAATAAGTTAGTGTTATTTACTTTGAAGTATTTGGTCATTAATGAGCAATTCTCAGTATTGGACTTTGAACGTTCTTTAATTATACACATAGATAATATCACTCCCATCGAAATTTCTTTTTGTGTTGGATATGTCGCTGTCATGTCAGACTTAGAAGTCTTAATCTTTAAACTGGCATCAGACCTTACAAATGGAGAGAGAATTGACCATCATCTACAGGAAACCAGCAACCCTTTGAAACAGACAGAAGGTAAATGATGAATTTAATTTTCTTTTTTAACCACAGAGAAACTGTCATCTCTGAAAATCTTTTTAAAAATCTTTTATTTTATGTGTATGAGTGTATTGCCTACAAGTATGTAAGTGTGCCTGTGCCGTGTAGTGCCCAAAGGGGTCAGAAGAGGACATTGGATCCCCTGGAACTAAAGTAACGGATGGTTGTTAGCTGTTAAATGGGTGTTGGGAAGCGAACCTGGGTCCAGTGCTCTTAACCACTGAGCCATGTCTCCAGCCCCTATCTCTGAAAATCTTTAAAGAACCCTAGTATATATGGTGTCAGGCCACACTTTTAGATCGTTATTCCTATTATGTTGAATTTGTGTTTCTGATATGACTGTTCATATCTTACTCTGCAGTGTGTCAATACGTTTCTGCATATATTTGTCAGTATAGCAGATGACAGGTTTCTAAAAAAAAGGTGTTTTTTTCATTTGGTTTTGTTTTGTGTTTTTGAGACAGGGTCTCACTGTGTAGCCAGTCTGCTGAGGACACTCACTAAATTCAGGCTTGTGATCTTCCTGTCTGAGCCTCCTGAGTGCTAGTGTTATAGGTCTGTGCCTCAGTGCCTGGCCTAGATGAGTTTCTAATCTTTGATCTCATATTTACTATTTGAATGACATGGGATAACACCATGTCTAATTTTCATTCAGGCAGATGATAGTACTTAGTGTTGGTAAACTCTTAAATTTTCTTTTTTAAGATATCCATAATGAAATTTCACAGCTTGAGTCAGATGATTTTGTTATCTGCCCCAAACCCATGGAACTCCTTGGTGAAAAAAGTGAACAGTCTGGAGTGTCTGTTAAACTGGAGTCTACAGGATTAGCAGATGAAAAACTAAAATATTTACATATTCAACACCTGCTTTATAGGTATGAGAGCATTTTTATTCACTAGAGTTTAATATTTATATACCTGCCTAAAGTATATGGAAATTAGATTTTCCCCCTCTCTTTTTAAACCCACAGACGTTTCGCTCCTGATATCTCATCCTATGTTTTGTCTTCTAACATCAAATTACATTCCCTCCAGCTACTTCCCATTTACCAAACAGGTAAGCATGGCGGTGCCACAGTACATGAGTGACAAAGCTCTGGGCCGGAGGGAAGACCAGTATGTGGGCACTAGGTTTGGTTCTTCCTCTGAGTCTTCCGGTGGGAAGGAAGGTCATGTCGAGTAGGAGAAGTGAAGCCATTGGGAGGGTATGACCCACAGAACTTGTTTCCTTTTTTGAAATGGTCTGTAGGCCCAGAAAAGGGAATCTGAGTCCCATTAGAGCTGAGGTTTATCTGGGTTCCAGCCAAATATTTGACAGTTTCTTAGGATGACCTGTGGGGAAGGTGGAAAAATAGGGTCTGGATGGAAATTCATTTAGAGCACTAGTTTTCAACCCTGTTGCATATTGCATTTATAAACAACATGAACAAAGCCCTCGGTTTGATCCTTAGCACTGAATAAACTGGGCATGGTGATGCATGCAAATAATCCTACTACTTGGGAGGTGAAGACAGGAGGATCAGAAGTTCAGGGCCATCCTCTGGCTACACAGTGAGCTCAACCAGTATGGGCTACATGAGGCCATGTCAAAAAAAAAAAAAAAAAAAAGAATGAAGGAATGAATGAATGAGAAAGAAAGAAAGAAAAAAGAAAGCTGGTCCTGGAGACTCTGACTTAACTGGTCAGTTTTAGACTTTGGCATCAACAATTTTAAATGCTCACCAGGAATCTAATGGGCACTAAGATTGAGAGGCCATAGTAAGCTCTGTACCGCTCATGGTCTGTTTATTAGACAGTGTCTGGAAAAGGTTATAAACATTGTTGTAATCCAGTGTCTTTATGACTTTTTTTTTAGTAAACACTTATTCAGTAGCATAGTAAGCTCTGTACCGCTCATGGTCTGTTTATTAGACAGTGTCTGGAAAAAGTTATAAACATTGTTGTAATCCAGTGTCTTTATGACTTTTTTTTTTAGTAAACACTTATTCAGTAGGTACCGTTGTTGAGCTTCCTGTGCTGAAATACCAGAGGGACCCTCAGTGAGCAAAGTGGGCAACACACTTGCACGTTCAAAGCTAGACGTCATTGAGGGAAGCAGCTACTAATCAAATATTCCCAGAATTGCATACTTAAATGAGTGCTCTATAGAAGAGGAACCCAGTATCAGAGACTGCAGCAAAAGACCCTGACTTTCTGTGGGGTCTAGGAAGGCTTCCTGAGAACAGATGTGCAGGACGAATTGAGCTGATTGGAGTTGAGACTGGTTCAGGGGAGGGAAGGGAGTGCTCCAGAGCAGCAAGGCTCAGTCATGGGCAGAGAAGTGATACTTGAGGAACTGAAAGAGCTAAGACCAGGGAGCACAAAGCAAGGGAGCGGGGATGTGATACAAGGCTGGAGAACACGCAGGCGAGTGGCCAGTCGCATTCTCTCATCCAGTGAACTTCCCATAGCGCTTGAAACTAAAAGCCCCAATCCATTCCATGTCCACTGTAACCCAGCTCTGAACTCATCTTGTCTCAGCCTGTGTCAGCTTACTAGTCTCCATCCACAGTGCCTTTCTGTCTTCAGATGTGCCAAGTAGAGTTTGGCGGAACACCTAGTCTCTCCTCTCCCTAGGCCTAGAATGTACTTTCTTCAGATCCTGCGTGTGTGGTGTGTGCACATTATTCAGTGCACAGCTCAGAGGCCACCTTACCGCGGAGGACCTCCCTGGCTCTCTCAATCTGATTTATTTTTATTTTTAATTGTGTGTGTGTGTGTGTGTGTGTGCATATGTGGTGCTCTCCTAGGCCAGAATAGGGTGTTGGATCCCCTGGAGCTGGAGTTACAAGTGGTTACAAGCCTTCTGACTTGAGTTCTGGGAACTGAACTCAGGTCCTCTGGAAGAGCTGCGAGTGCTGTTAACTGCTGCACCACCCTCCAGTTCCAAGTTCTCAACTTAAAATAACCCTTCTCCACTGCAGAGTTTATGTGTTTATTCTCCATCCCAGTTGCCATCACTAGACTGAGGGCTCTGTGAAAGAAGCCACCCTGTTCTGTGCATTGATATCTCCCTAAAACCTAGAATAACAAAGAGCGCTGTAACAGGGACCTAGTGGAAAGACATTGAATAGACAAATGAATGGGTGGGTGGTAGACAGTTGAGCCGGGCCCCAAGGGATGAGTAGATTTTTTTAGAAGATGATGAATTTGGTAAGATAGTAATAAGGGAACCAACATATGCAAACTAAAATGATACTGTATTTGGAGATTAGTGAGCAGTTCCGTTTGGTGTGAGCGGGAAAGAAGAGGGAGGGGGCGAAATGGAGTTGTCATGGAGCTAGTTGGTAGAGAATACAGAATTTGACGTCTGGTGCCAATGGGTACCTTGGAAGGAGGAGGAAGACTTTTTATTTGCTTATTTATTTGTATTTTGTGTGTATGAGTGTATTGCCTGTAAGTGCACCCATGTCATGCGGTGCCCACAGAGGTCAGCAGAGGGCGTCGGCTATCCTGGAATTGGAGTTACAGATGGTTGTTAGCCACCATGTCGGACCCAGGACTGGGTCCTCTGCAAGAGCAGCCAGTGCTCTTAACTGCTGAGCCATCTCTCCAGCCCAAGGAAGACATTTTTTAAAAAAGTCTTGGTTATGAAAATTTTAAACACATTTAGATGTGAGATAATAGCACAACAAACCCCTGTGTTCCCATGGTACAGTTTCAGCATGACAGTGTCATGCTTAGTGCCAGGTTATTTCGGTGAATATATTAACGTTTATATTATTTATCCATCGATATTTTTCAACATATTCCCTTAAACAGAAAAGATTCTTTTACTTCAACAAATTCAAAGTACTTTCTTATGTAAGAATTTCGTGAATCATCAGATATCTTTTCATTGTTCAGATTTTCCTGATGATTTTCCTACAGTTCATTTATTTGATGTATCACAGTTGATTTCGGTTCCTTATATGGGATTCTCTCTCTTTCTCTGTCTGTCTGTCTTGCAATTTATGTAGCAAAAAATTAGACACTTCCTGTAAACCTTCTCACCATCTGAATTGTGCCCGCTGACTGCCCCCAGTGCCATTGAACAGGCTCCTGTGTCACTGCATTTCTACATCAGTTTGTAATCAGGTGTCAGTTTGTGCTGTTTAGTGTGATGCTAGCCACATGTTTATAAAGTACACACTAGATTTGGAGTTTGGTACTGAAATATAAAAGCCTAGTTTTGTTGCCATTGCTTGTTGAAATGGCAGTGTTTTAGATGTGTTAGATTACTATGCAATATTATTAAAATTTCATCATGCTTCTTTCTACTTTCTAAAATATACTAGAAAACTTTAAATCATGGATGTGGGTTACATTATGTTTTTATTCGTAGTGTTGATAGAGACTCAGGCTTGATCAGAATTATGATTGTTTGTTGCATAAGTAGTGTTGCTGTGGTGGAAGGCCTGTTGTATATGGTGGACTCTGTGATATTTACAGCCATTGATGATCATGACTTAGTCCTGTTCACTTACTCAGTGTTCCAGAATGTTGCTGTTCTAACTATGTCACCCTCTTGCATTTCTTACCACTGTGTTTCCACACAGAGCAACTTCCCCTTAGCAAGCTTCCCTTTGGTTTCCCACTGATACAGTCTGCACAGTCAAGATACTGGTTCTGGGGTTGGACAGACAGCTCAGCATTAAGAGCACTTGCTGTTCCTTCTTGCAGAGGACCTGAGTTCAGTTCCCAGCACCCACATGGTGATCAACACCCATCCTTAACTCCGGTTCCAGGAGATCTTGCGCCCTTTTTGGCCTCCACAGGCATTGCATGCATGTGTTTCACTTACATGAAAGCGTTCTTATACATAAAATAAAAATAGAACAAATTTTTAAAAGATACCGTTCCTCTCCTTTTATTTACCAGCTTCATGATATTTATTGCTTTCATTTTTTAAATGCAGGTTTTCCTTCTGATGGGAAGAATTCGTCTCAGGAAAAAGAGCTGCTGAGTCTCTTCTGTTTCTTCTCGCTACCCCATGTTGGGTATCTGTACATGGTTGTGAAATCTGTTGAATTAATGTCAGTCTACCAGTATCCTGAGAAGTCGCAGCAAGCAGTGCTCACACCACAATTTTTGCATGTAATTACAAGGTACTGTTAGAGTTTCTTATTGGTCTTTGAGTCACTTTTCTACAATGTCAAGGTGCTGCTAAAAATCTTTAACCGAGAACTTATGATGAGGATAGAGCACTATAAATTCACGAGTGATGCCTGTCTGGTCAAATCTGTCTTTAACTGGATCATGCCTGTCAGTGTTAACTGGCTTTGTCCCTGTTTTGCCTAGACTGAATGGGAGTCCTTGTAGACTCTGAAGTTCTGAATGGAGCATTTCATGGAGAATTACCATGAGTGGGAACCAGTCAAACATCTCTTTAGATTCCTTTTGGATTTCCTCTACTCACTGCTGTCCTATTCTTTCAGTGTGAACTGAGTTATTTTGTGATGGTTTAGAACTCTAAAACAGCCAGAAAGGTGATTGTACTCCCTGATTCCTAAAGACGGGAAGCAGCCACAGGGAGGTTAAGGTTGGCCATCATGTGACTAGTTGGTAGCAGTTGTCTTTAGGGTGGTCCTGCCCTAGCATGCTAGAATATAAACTGCTTTCTTAAATAGGAGTTTGATGTCATTTTATCTCAGTGGTAAGTGATATTTTTAGTTCTGTTTCCTGTTTTTTGAGTTTAGATTATATTCAAGGGACTGCCTTGGACCCTTTGACCAAGCAACCATGAATAAAATACACCCTCTACTTCCCAAAGCAACTGTGTAAGAGAAGTCCAGAGACACATAAAAAAGGCATGCTCATAGCTGGGCGTGGTGGCACACACCTTTAGTTCCAGCATTCAGGAGAAAGAGGCAGGCGGATCTCTGTGAATTCCAGGACATCTAGGGGTACAGGGAGACCCTGTCTCAAAAGACCAAGAAAAACAAAACAAAACAAAACAAAAAACAAGGCACATACTAAGAAATTTGAGGAAATTCTTAAGTCATGATTGTACAATATGCCTTGGAAGAGGAAAGTTACTTCTGGCAGGATCATGTGGGAAAGTTTCAGATAACTGGTTGTGTTTGAAGCTAGGTCTGGAAGGTAGTTAGCATTTTGATGGACAGAGAGAAGAGAGTTATTGGGAGAGGGAAGACTATAAGCAAAGGCTATAATCCAGTTTTTTGGAAATGTTCAAAAGTTATTTGCACATAACAGTGCTTTGGTTTTGTTTTAATTCAGTGGTTGTATCAGAATTTCCAGCATATACTGGTGTCTATATTAAACTGTAGAGAGCCCACGTGGGGATTCTGCCTCGCACTTCTAGTGGGCCGCTCCCCTCTCCCTGTTCTCTCATGGAAGGAGAGATGCTACCAGTAGGAGTGTGTTTATTCCTAAGTGAGAAGAGTGGAGGTAACTCATCTGCCCACTGCCTAAATTCCTGTGTGGTGGTAGTCGTTAAATGTGAGGAGGCTGAAAATCAAATGGTGGGCATAGCAGTGGAGCGCCAGCTTTTTTTTTTTTTTTTTTTTTAAGAAAATGATGTCATCAGAGTACCTGCCTTAGGAACGCTTAATGGTGACTGTTTGGGGGATGGATTCAGCATCAGTTACTATGGCTATTGGAATGGTTTGGAAAGCGTCTTAAAGGATGGCATCCAAGCAGGGCAGCAGCAAGGGGGGATGGGAACAACTTTGCCAGAGTTCTTCGGGTCAGATAGAATAATGAAGAGGGGAAAAGAGTGAAATATCTTGTCAGGGTTTTGAGCTTTATTGTCTGTCTGTCTGTCTGTCGATGTATATTTTTAAATTTTATTTATTTATTTTTTAGATGGGCTTTTTCTATGTCACCCTGATTGGCCTGGCATTCAGTAGCCCAGACTGGCCTTAAACTCATGGAAATCCCCGTACCTCAGCTTCCTGCTTTCTGGGATTACTAGTTTGTGCCACCATGCTTGGCTTGAAGGTGATTTTTTGAAATAGTGGAGGCTAGTGTAATGTGGGACACAAGAGCAGTTTGCTTTAGACAGCTGAGTTTGAGATCCTTCTAGACTATTAAGAGAGAGTGCGAAGTAAGACTCTAGAGAAGGAGAGAGAAGAAAGTTCAGATATTTATTACTTCAAAAAGAAGTGGATTCTCAAGGTAGTCATAGACAGGGGAAAGTCATTGGAGAACTCAACTCTGGTAAAGGTCATATTTGAAAGCAAGATAAGGACAACAAAGATGTGCTATCGCATCTCAGAAACCAGGGAAGAGGAGAGAAGGAAGGAATAAAAGTGGAATTTCTGTCCTCAAATGCAAAAGACTTGTTTTTTCTCCATCTGATTATACACCTGGACAGATTATATACACTGAGACTTTAGTGAGTATAGCTTCTAGATTTGTACCCTGTATTACTATTCATGTTATCACTATGTCAAAATGCCTGACAGAAATAACTTAAGGAAAGGATGGATTTAAGCTCATGATTTCAAAGATGTCAGTCCATTTGGTGAGGAGTGGACAGCCCAGCAGAGCAGTTTACACCCTGGCTGATAGGAAGTGGAGGAAAAGGAGCCCCGGTGCTGAGCTGCCCTTTCTCCTTCTTACCCTTTCGTTCTGTGTGGGCCCCCAGCCCATGGGATGGCACCCCACATCCCTGGGGAGTCTTCCTTCCTCAGCTAATCCTTTCCTGAGGTATGGCTCACTGAAAAGTAGTTGTTAATATGTGAATTGAGATTCTTAAGATCCCCACACCTATTAAACCCTCTATTACTGAACTAATTTTTAGGTATTTAAGTTTTTTCCCATCAGATACATATTTGTCCCTGAAGATTGTCTTGGAAGATTTCTTCAAGATTGGTGTACACACACACACACACACACACACACACACGACAATAGGTTTTTTTTCTTAAAGAATCAAGGAACAATATAAAATCTTGTAAAATGCCAACCTTACAGAAATATGGAAATCAGAAAGTCCCTCATAACCCTACGCCCCACAGTTAGATCAACAGTTATTATATATTCATCTGACCTTGTTGGCTTTTTTTCAATATTTTCTTTATTATTTTAATTTTATGTGTATGCATGTATTGCTTGCATGTAGGTAAGTGCAATGCCTAGATGTGAGGACAGGAGAGGCTGTCAGATCCCCTGGAACTGGAGTTAGGACAGTTGTTAGCTGCCGTGTGGTGCATATACTCTTTTATGAGTTGTTTCTTGTAGAATGGATCATACTCTGCTCTACCAGGATCTTGTTTTCTTGGCAGCAGAGCTTGGATATCTTGCACATTTAAAAAAATCCTTTTATATTCTGCTTAGTATTCTGATAGTAGCCAACAGGCTGGTCACTGATGGAGGAAGCTAGTCAGACGCTTCTGCCATTTGGGCTCCAGAAGCTGATGGTTGCTGACCCCTGTGGTCTCAGCTGTTCCCCACTGTCATTCTGGTTCCACTGCAGGTGCTGTTTGCTCCTCATCCTCAGTCTCAGATCACTTCCCAAGGTGCTCACTCTACTGCAGATTAGTAAATGGTTGTGCTGGTATCCCAGTTTGTGGGATAGCTTCGGAGACTATTTCCCATAGCTGTGGGCATGGACAGTAGCGGACTGAGGTGGATGTGGCAGCACTGAGAGCTTGGGAGAGTCCTGGCCACTGCCCTTTCCTACGAGGTACATGGTCCCTCCACCGTGAAGGTGTCCGGATGCCTTTCTTGTAGAAGAAGCGTGATTTCTACTTTAATGTTGCTGTCAGATTTGCTTTAGTACTTACTATTTATTTAAAGTTTAAAGGCTCATGTCAACTCCTCCTAGTTTCTAGTTTGTTTTTTACAGAATGAATTTGGTAGTGATTTCTAAATAAATGACTTTTTCTATCATTATTGGTATTCATGTAGATAACCACAGCAGATGACAGCCAGGTGTCTTTGTGCTCTTTGGTCTACTTACTCTGCAAAAGGAGCCTGGGGTTGTAGAAGGAGCCTGGGGTTGTGGAAGAAGGTAGAGGAGAGTGAGGAGCCAGGAAGCTGGATCTAATTACTTCTTCTCTCTAGAGAGGCCTTGGCCAACATGAATCCTTCATGTTCTGGTCTTCAAGCTGGATGAGACACTTCTGAAAAGCCCTCGGCCTCTCTTTTTTTTTTTTCTACCACTGATGTATGTTTTGTGTAGCTGCACAGTGTAATGCAGATGTTCTGGTCTTCAAGCTGGATGAGACACTTCTGAAAAGCCCTCGGCCTCTCGTTTTTTTTTCTACCACTGATGTATGTTTTGTGTAGCTGCACAGCGTAATGCAGGCTGAATTTCATTCTGAGACAGGTAGAGTAGGCAATAGTCAAGAAGCAGGCTCTAAGTTTGACTTTATAGCCACCCATCCATACTGCATGCAGATCCTGGGGCACCACGTAGTCTCTAAAACGAGGACACTGATTGATTCCAATTTGTGGTTCTTATCTGTGGGGTACACATAGCTTCAGTCTCTTGAGCTTTTGATTCAGTGGGGATGAACTGGGGGCTCATCATCATAAAACAAATGCTAGTATCTGTCTTCTACCCTCCCTGTGGCTCTGTTTGCCTGGGGAACCCCATCTCCCCCACTGTGATTGGATACACTGGTTCTTGGCCTCCACTTTGCTCAGTGGCCTCTCTCTTCTTCCTTAGCCACAACCTGCAGTGTTTCACGGTGCGGTGCAGTGCTGCAGTAGCTCGTGAGGAGGACCGGTACATGGATACCACCCTGAAGGTTAGATTGGCTTTTGATGACAGTGAAACCTTGAGCTCAAAAGGGAGTGGGAACACATGAATGCTTGTACACTCACTCTGAGTTCTGAGCTTGCCAAGGGCTAAAGGCCTAAGGTTGTCTTCTTCATTACATTAGAAATTTTGGATGTAAACTAGTAAGCATTTGTGACTTGTGGTTTGTTTGACAGTTTTTTAGATTGTTTCAAAAACATTTCACTGAGAATTAATATATTGCATAGTTTTTTTTTTTAAATAAAGTCTGGGGAGTAATAGGTATGGTGTAATTTGGAGGGAAGTTCATAACTATATTATATTACTACTTACCTGGCTTGTTTGTTTGTTTGTTTGAGATAGGGGGTCTCACAAAATAGCCCAGGCTGGCCTGGAACTCACTATATAGCCCAGGCTAGCCTCCAACTTGGGGTTATCCTCCTGCATCAGTCTTCCAAGTGCTGGGATCACAGGTGTAAGTCACCATTCCTGGTTCTAGAATCTTAATTTTTAAGGAAATATTAATGGCGATTGTACAGAACTTTTAAAATAGTGCAGATATCAATATACTCAGTACTGTACAATTGAATACAATGCATTAAAAGGATTTCTTTATATTATTACCAAAACATAATTCTTTCATGATTTTTCAAGCCTTTGACAATTTTCTACAGTTAATAAGAGTTATTGGATATGCTCGATCAACAGCCTCATTTTTAGTGAGAATATGCTTATTGCCAGATAAGCTTTGACTACAAATAAGTGTAGGCAAGTTTATGATTTTCATCTGGCCTTGAATTTCTTTTCTCAGAAATATAATTATCATTTACATAATATTATCTGTGCTATTCACTTCTGAAGTAAAAGCTAGTTGAACGAATATTTGTAATGAATCTGCATGCTAACAAGAAACTCCCAAATTATGAGATCCTATTTTTAAAATGTTACTTTACAGGGCTAGAGAGTTGGCTCAGTGGTTAAGAGCACTGACTGTGCTTGCAGAGGACCCCAGTTCCATTCCCAGCACCCACATGGCGGCTAACAGCTGTCCTAACTCCAGTTCTAGGGGATTTGATGCCTTCTTCTGACCTTCCCGGGCATTGCACGACTCAGGTGCACTTGCACACATACACATAAAATAAAAATAATAAGTAAAATATTAAAAATAAAATGTTAGTTTAGGTCTACAAGAAAACTTTAGCATCTTTTTTCCATACACTTTTTTTCCATAAAAGTGTTAATGATGGCTGCATTAATAAGGTAGCCTAATGTGTGCCTTGTGTGGTGCCTCATGTGTCTGAGAGTCTCTTACCATAGTACTGCACTGGGTTTCTGGTAAGTGATAGCTTCTATGGAGGGTGGTTTCAGTTCTCAGCGTGTTTTGTTTAGCCATGGCCTGACTATGGTTTTATGACGCTAGCCTGGCTTAGTGTTTGCTTTCAGCTGCTTAGAAAACTAAAATCACAGATTTTCTGTGTCTTCCTATGAGGTCCACATGGACTTTTGAAGTAAGAGCTCGTCTTAAAACTTAAGATTTGCTGGATGGTGTGGCGCACACCTTTAACCCCAGCACTCTGGTGGAAGGGACTGGCCACTCTCAGATCGAGGCCAGGCTACTCTACATAGTGAGTTTTCAGACCAGCTGGGGCTACAGGGGGACTTGTCTCAAAAAGACCGAAAATAAATAAATAAAAAATTAAGTAAAATTAAGATTATTTTCCTAGTAAAAGTGGAAAGACGGAGATGAAAAAATCTTCCATTCTTCGCTCTTTGTCCGTCCCTTCTTTCCTACCAAGAAGACAAGGGCTTACATGAGACAAGTCAGAGTGTGCAGGGACTTACAGAAGAGTGAGCTAATCCCGCTTTAAAATAAATAAAGACAAATCTGCATTGAAATAGAACAGAACTCCGTGTTTTCCAGCAGTCATAACACCAGGGGGAAGGAACAGGGAAGTGGAGAGGGAAGAGGAAAGGGTTGCAGCTGATAGCGGATGCTGCCTTAGCACCAACACAGGTGTGGAAGGGTGCTGGTGGTCACGCCCGTGGCGCCCCTTTGCTGCTGCTTGACCAGTTCTGAAATCTAGGTGCCATTCAAATGAGCACACAGTCGCTTAGCCCACTTGCCGACTCAAGCTTTGGGAGTTGTACCGTCTGAAAAAGATCTTGCAGACTCGGAATCTGATCCAAACAGTATGCAGTCATTGTTTCCCTGTCCCAAGACTGCCTCTTCTGCCCTGTCCAAAGCCAACTGAACTGTGTGCATAAATGAAAATAAAGATGCAGGTGTTTTCTCATCTTTGTCCAAAGGGATGATGAAAGTGACCTCAGAAACAAAAGTGTTGATGGAGGTAAAGGCAGAGGCCTGTCAGTTATTTGGTGAGCTCCTGAGTTTCTCTCTTCTATCAACTTTCTTATCTATTCTCTTTAACTTAACGGTCCCAGGCTGGAACAGCATTCCACTTCCTCCCGTTTATCTGACATGCCCCATGCTGTTAGCTGTCCCAGGCTTTGTTTACACCAAAGGTTCTGACAGTCATGCCATCCAAACATGCAAGCATTTCCTGCACATAATCCACAAAGAAACCAGTTTATACACCCTATGTGCCACAGTATACCCCTTTATAGTATCTGATTTTGGCTGGAACTCCATTTAGTCCTGACTCCAAGCCAGCCCATTATCAGTGGAGATTTTACTGGGTGGTAGGTGTCTAGCCCAGGACTTCTCCAGAGGGGTCTGTCGAAGTTAGCGCAGGAGCTCCCCCACCCATGAGATTCTGTCTACACTTATGCAGTCAACAGTACCTAGTAGTGCTTCAAAACAGATGCTTGGTGGAGCTGAGCGATGGCTCGGTGGTTTAAGAGCGCCTACTATTACAGAGGATCTGGGTTCAGCTCCCAGCACACATATCAGGTGGCTCATAAAGGTCTAAATTCTGTGGTGCAGTTAAACTCATTCAGGCACACATTCATACACATAATAAATAAATATATCTTTAAATTTTTTATTTATTTTTATCATACGTATGAATGGTTCACTCATCCATTCAGTGCTCATGGAGATCAGAAGATGGCATCAGATCCCCTAGGACTGATGTGTGTGCTGGGAACTGAACCCGGGTCCTCTACAAGAGCAGCCAGCGCTCTTAACTGCCAAACCATCCTCCAGCCGCATATAAACTAATCTTTTTAAAAATAAAATAGACTGTTACATGTTTACGTTGCTATTCTTTAAAACGGGATGGGGAACAGAAGGGATTTTTAAATTTTATTATTTTTATTTTATGTGTATAAATGTATTGCCTACACGTATGTTAGTGCACCCATGCCATGCAATGTCCATAGAGGTCAGTAGAGGGCATCAGATTCCCTGGAACTGGAGTTATGGATGGTTGTTAGCCCCCTTGTGGGTGCTGGGAATTGAACCCAGGTCCTCTGCAAGAGCAGCCAGTGCTCTTATCCTCTGAGCCATCTCTCCAGTCCCCAGAAGGGATTTTTATCAAATAAACAGGCTGACTTTGTGTTTTTGAGATAGGATCTCTTGCATCCCAGGTTGGCCTCAAACTCACTGTATAACTGACTATGACCTTGAACTTCTGACCCTTATTTCTCCACCTCCAGATTGCTGAGATGACAGGTATGAGCCACTATACTGGTTTTATCCAGTACTGGGGATTGAACTCTGAGTTGTGTGCACTCTGCCAACTGAGCTGCATCCCCAGCCTTGACTTTTAAAGTAAAAGTTCACCTATATTCATCCCCTTGGCTAACTTTGTAATCTTTCCTTTATTAGGCTTGCCCACCTGTCAGTATGGATGTGTGCGTTTTAAGGATACAGCTTTTCATAGGCTTGAAAGCCATTTGTCACTTTAAAAACCACATTATCCTTTTGACCAAGGCAGAACCCGAGGCCATTCCAGAGAGAACAGAATCACCGAGGAAGCTTCTGTAAGCACCTTCCCCACACATTTCTGTCGGTTTCTGGAATGAAGTGTAACTGGTATATTTTTGTGTGTCTTAGTTTAAAGTTTTTAAATTGAAGCTTGGAATGGCAAGAAGACTTTTCGATGGTGTTCTTTTCCCAGAGAAAATAAGGAAGGTCTAATGATCGCTGTAATGTTCTATACAGTTGACTGTGGAACTTTTAAAAGAAGTGAATAATAAAATACTTTCAATAAAAACGGCCAGTATTGAAGATGAGAATTTAAAGGACGTGCTTTTCTGTGTGATTAATGAGACAGACAGAGGCTGTAGTGCTGAGCCAAGTCATAGCTTTTTACTGCTTTTCCTCTTTGGCCTTTTAGTAGTTACATTTTTATCCAAAGCTTATTTTCTGATATTGTAAAAAAATTATTAATATGCATTTTATACTAAATATGTTTTTATGTTTTAATTAATTAAAAAATATTTTGAGCTTTTGTACATTTCATACAACACTTCTTAATCAAATTTAGACCCCCTCCCCCATCTGTGCCCTCCCAACCCCACACTGGACCTCATGTATTCTGTCATACATGATGAGTCCTATCAAGTCAAGCATTTGTACTAAAGAAAATGCATCACATGGAAAGCAAGAGGTAAGATAGGACTTTAAGCTGACCTAAGTGTCTTCTACATCTTCCCAGTATGATTGTTTTATGTGTTGTTTCTGCTAAGGTTTGTGGTACAGGGCATGCTGGTCTCATGACAGCCACATACAGGACAGGGTCTGGGCAGGAAGGCTTTCAAAGCTGATGGGTTTGCTTGCCTAGTTGGTGAGCTTAGTATTGGAGAATTGCAGGCAAGTTGCTTTGTCAATGTGGGATAAACCAGCAAATGCTCTCTGCCCCTGTGTAATAATGTGAACTAATGATCTGTGAAAATGCTAAATGTATAGCTAATCACCAAGCAAAATACTAAATAAAAGTGATTTCACAGTTGTATTATTTTATAGTACCTAATATTTGCCATTTAGAACTGCAATTTACTAATAACATGTCTTACAATTCTTATCCTTTTTTAGTTCTACAAAAGATACCAGTGTTAAGACCAAAATGCCTTCTGTAGCTGAGGCTGGGTGGAATTTGTATATTGTGAACACCATCTCACCAGTGCAACTATACAAAGAAATGGTACCTTTTCGGCCATCTGATTCTTATTTGTACAAACTTAAGAGTGAAATCATTACTGGAATTGATTCTAGGCAGACTGCATTCTTGTTACTTCCCAGCCCTCTGCCCCTTGTACTGCATTTAGCAAACCTGCTTTCTAATCTAAGAAATAGATCCTAATCATTCATGTGTGCAGGATGCCACAGACAAGCAGCTCTAGGCTCCGACAGCCAAGTGTACATCTTTCTTTGCCTTGTTTTCACAGCTTCTAGAAATTGAGGAGTGACTAGTATTTCCCTTCACTAAAATTAATATTCCTTATTCAAACTTACCCTTCAAAGAGAATTACTGAGCTAGTGTAAACATAAAAGCCTTGACTTTGAGTCCTAGCCAAGAGAACCATAAAATGCATTGAAAAATGATCGAATTTATTTCTATCTCACTCTTCTTCTGTTGAAGCATAGCATCTTGTCCCTGGGCATGGCAGCCACTACAACAGCAACCCGTGGGAAGGGTCTGGAGTGACATGCCTAGCCCTGTTCTGAGAGCGATAGCTTCCTACTCATTTCTGACTATTTGAAGTAATGTCAAGCTTGAAGAAAAGTGTAAGAATGAGAATAATAAGGAAAACTTGTATATCAGGACTCAGGTTTGCTTACTCAGCAGGGGACCTACTGGCTTCAGGGGGTGGGGATCGGGGTGCAGAGAGGCTGGATCAGCAATAGAGTAACGACTCTGGGACATGCGTTTTCCTTCACACAAGCTGTTTATTACAAAATTCAGATGGTTTTTATACATTACAAGGAACTGGCAGTCACATGGGGTATGGCAGTCACTACAAAAATTTGGGGCACAAAGAAATGGGATACACAGCCTTTTAGTTGGTGCCAACAGGACACTTAAGCTTTTACTCAAGTTTACCAGTGCCTGTCTGGTAATTTATTGGCCACAGTTTTTCTTTCTTAGGGCTGAAAAAACATGGTAAACTTTTAGCTTTTAGCTCAGGAGTAGACCTTTAACCTGGCCTAATCTCTTAGCTAGTGATAGCTGAGTTATTTGTTCAGGACAGGGAGATGAGCCGAGGGCTGTTGACCAAGATGCTTTCCCACAGAGCAGGAAGCCTGAACTTTTGACCTGACTACTTTTCTCCCCTAGTCTTGCAGCTGCTGTTTTCAGTGCCCCTCCCTTTAGCATCCCAGACTTAAAAAGTTTTAGGCTCATCTCACCCTAGGGCATGCCATCCTAGTTTCCCGTACTTGTGTATCCTTCATGCAGCTGACCATGGTCAGCGTTTCCCCTCCTGCCCCCCAGTCCTGTAGTTGTGGTACTTTCTCAGCACACACCGTTTTCCCCCTTGATCTCTTCGAAGATAAGCTACATGCATCATAGCTTTCGGCTCTGAACACTGGAGTGTTTTCTAATGATCAGATATTCTGTATAGCCGCAATCTAGCCGTATGCTTCAGTAAATTTAACGTTGGCACAAGTCCAGGCTTTGTATCCTTTCCAGCTTTGTCTGTTGACTCAGTGAACGTTTCATAGCTTTTCCAGCAGTCCAGGCTGGGGCCAGGTAATATGCTAAGGTATCGTATCTCTTTAGTCTACTTGAATCAAGACTACTTCTATAGCTTTCCTTTGTATTCTATAGCATTGACATTTTTGGAAAATATAAATTTTCCCTCTACTCCCCACCCCCCCAAGAATGTTCTTAATTTCATGTATCTATTGTATCAGCTTATACATTCTCAGCCAGAAGACTGCATAAATGACATTGCATTTCTGTAGTGTATCGAATCTGTAAACACGTAATAACCATTAGCTCCTCCCTGGCGATGTTAATTTTGCTGAAATGGTTAAGAATTGCCTGACTTCTCTGACATTTGTAAATTGATAATTATAACAACTTCATCCTGTCTTTCTGTCTTGCTTCATCTACCTCTCATTCTCATCTAGATGCTCTGACTCCTAAAGTGCAGTCATGCTGAACTTGTGAGATTAGTTTGTTTCTGAGCCTACCGTGAGCTATAAAATTAGGTGTCGTTGGCCGAAAGAGTATAAGCCAGAGGGACGAGACAGCTATTGACCTTAATGCTTTCTAGATATGACAGAGAAGCTGCCCCAGTGAATGGTCGTCCTGGAGGGCCTGTGCATAGTGACAGAACCGGTTAACATAGGTGGGGGGATTTCATGGGGTCCCATCTCAGTTTAATCATGTGTATATTAAACTGGTCCATAGGTTATGGAGAAAGAAAACGCCTAGCTAAGGCCCTATCAAATGATATATAACCACTTACTTGTTTTCACATTTAATATACCTATATATTCAATTTATTAACAAAATGTATAGGAGTTCTTTCAAAGGAGGGATGGCTAGCAGTCTGTTCAGCAGCGCTATGATTTGTCTGTTGTTGTAGGTAGACTATAGTAACACCTACAAGACGGTGAAAACCCAGAGCTGCATCCACCTTCTCAGTGAGGCTCATCTTTTAGTGAGAGCTGCCCTGATGGATGGCAGTCAGCTGGAGCCTAGAGAGAAAGCAGAGCTTCTAGAAGCATTTAGAGAAAGCTGTGGGCACCTGGGAGACTGTTACAGCAGGTTGGTGATGCCCCTTAAAGCTTTTACAGAGTTTGACATGTACTTACCAGTCTTCCCATTTCTGATAGTGAGTGAGAGAACAGGGAGTTGGGTTACTTTTTGCATTTATTTCACAAGCATTTATTGCATACATACTATGTGCCAGGTTCTGTGCTAGACTTAGAGATACAAAGATGAATATGACCTGTCCACTGTCTGAAAGTGTCACCGTTTGTTAGACGAACAGTAAATCTGAAGTTCAAGATTCTCCCACCACCTAACTTAAAGATTTGGGGGGCCTATGACCAGGGAAATCTGAGATTTTAATATTAGTGGTCAGTGCTTTTATGATGTCAGAAAGGCATGTGAGGGTAAATAGAGATTTTATTTTGAGAATAATGTCTATAAATTTTTTTATATATGATAGTTTCCTGGGCTTACTTCACCCATGTGAATGATTATAAATGAACAAAATAGACCTTTCCTAATGATAACTTCTATTATTTAAGAAAAATATCAAAAATGTTAAGATTCACTCAATGAGTGATCGCTTCCCCACTTTTATTATGAGCAGGAAAAAAGAAACTGTTAATTAGGATGACTTCATGAAATCACCTTAGGACTTTATACCCATTACTGATGTGAGGAGGAAAGTACTTTTAGGTTTCTGCCTTTGGAAAGCATGTTTTATATCTTAGGTAGCTGACTTAAAAAATGCAAATTTGAAGCCTTTTAAATCTCCTTTTCTTTAGACTTGACACTCAGCACTCCCACCTCGCCCTGCCGTACTACAAGATGTCGGGTTTGTCTCTGGCTGAAGTTTTGTCCAGTGTGGACTGGACGGGAGAGAATGAATTACGGAAATATGAGAGAGGATTGACATTTTATATTAATCATTCACTTTATGAAAACCTGGATGAAGAATTAAGTGAAGTGAATATAGTTTTCTATAGCGTTATATCTACTATTTTTAACTTTTCATTTCAATAATTTGTTTTAGGTAATAGTATTTAGATCTCAAGCTCCAAATATTTTCTGATTTGTTATTCATTCTAAAAAATTAATACGTCCTTATCTTCATTAATGTCCTTAGCATTTATAGTTTGGAAAGTAATTTAGGATTCTTTGCATGTTTCCTCAGTGTTCAGCTGGGAGCTGTGGTCTGTTGTGGTTGGAGGACCCGCCCCGTGCTGTGGTCTGTTGTGGTTGGAGGACCCGCCCCGTGCTGTGGTCTGTTGTGGTTGGAGGACCCGCCCCGTGCTGTGGCATCTGTCCTAAAGTGACACATATGGCTCCTGCTTTCCTTATCGTGCAGTCTTCCCCAAGCCCCCATTTGCCCTATTTTTCAAGTGTTCAACCTTCACTTAAAGGTCCAGTGACCCCTTAAGATATCTTTAAAGATTATTCTTAATCCTCTTCATTTTAAAAATACTTGGAAATTGTAATGCCAAATACTTTGAGGTTTTGAGGGAAATAAAATTTCTCATGAGTTATATCCTTGGGTATGTTTTGAACTAAGTTGTAGTTTTTAAATTGTATACTTTTAAGCATAATTTCATAAACTATTTTCTCCTGAACTATTAGAATTAGAAATGTTGGTCCCAACGTGGTATACTTCGTCATTGCCTTTCTTCATTATAATCCAGTAGACAGATCAGTTCAGGTCATCTTGTCTCCCACGTAGTTGCATGAACTCTGTGTTCTCAGTCAAAACCTATTATTGATTGGCTTAGTGTACATATGCATTCTTTTTTCTGATTTTATTGCTTTCTGTTGGTTAACCTTTTATTCTTTGTTCCTATTCCTCAAAGGAATTAGCAGCAAAAGTGGTTCAGATATTTCACGTGACGGAACCGAAGCAACTTCCCCATATTCTCTGTAGTCCGTCTATGAAGAACATTGATCCTTTAACTGCTTTGCACTATTTAAGGAAGCTGGATACTTCTGGATTTTCCTCGATCTTAGTAACCTTGACCAAGGCATCAGTTGCTTTGAAAATGGGAGACCTTGACATGTACAGAAATGAAGTGAAAAGCTATTCAGAGGTATAGTACCCTGCCTGGTGCTAACAGCAGTCTGAAAGCGTAGGAGGTCCCCAGGTATTTAGCTTTCTTTTGGCTTCTTTGTAGCGTATAGTTTCCTAGTTGCAACAGATGGCAGACAAAATTAGATGGGAAATGATCTAAATGAGACATTGGATGTGGCAAATGAAAGAAGAAATAAGGTTGATAAATATCAGCAGTGGACATTCAAAGATCTTTCCTCTTAGTGCCTTGTATAATTAACATTATGTTTGGTATTGAAGAATGTACAAGTTGTATCCAAAGCCGACATTATGACCGGGTATGAAAGACGTTCACTCTTCTCAAAGCAGAAGAGAGTGATGTGTTTTAAGAATAGCAGGAAGGCCGGGGGTGGTAATGCATGCCTTTAATCCCAGCCCTCGGGAACAGAGTGAGCTGGATAGCTTTAGTGTCAACTTGACACATCTGGGTGGAGGGAGCCTCAATTGGGGAATTTCCTCCATTGGACTGGCCTATGGCCATGTCTGTGGGGCATCTTCTTGATTATTGAGTGATGTGGGAGGGCCCAGCCCACTGTGGGTGGTGCCACCCCTGGGCAAGTGGTCCTGTGTTGTATAAGAAAGCAGATTGAGCACGGGCTATGGGAGCAAGTCAGTAAGCAGCATGCTTCCATGGCTCCAGCTCCTGCCTCCAGGTTCCTGCCCTGAATTCCTACCTTGTGCTCCCTGATGAACTGTGACCCAGGAGATGTGAGACAAGTAAACCCTCTCCTCCCCAAGTTGGCATTGGTCAGAGTGTTTTGTCACAGCAATGGAGAAACAAATCAGAACACAGAGGCAGGTGGATCTCTCTGAGATCGAGGCTGGCCTGGTCTAGGGGGCTAGGGTTTTCAAGAAGGATATAAACTGTAAGCTTTAGGGGTCTGGTAGGTACAAAATTCCCTCCACTCAGAAAATCACAAGTGACTTCATGGAGTAGAGGATATTTAAATGGTACATCAAAGTGGGAAAGACTTTCTTTTGGGAGAGGGGTCATCTAGGGGCAGAAGCCAAAGACATTAGTCACAAGGAAAAATAATAGAGATAATGTTATTTGAGCATTTATATCCGAGGCCACTTTTAAGATGCTTGCATACGTTATTTCCTTTAATTCTCATTTGATGCTGAAGTCAGTGTTCTTACAGCTGTTATACACATGAGACACTCAAGATGCAGGACTGAAATAACTGGTCTATGACTGCACAGTTGCTCAGAATTGAGCCAGTCCAGCTGACCTCAGAGCCTGTCCCTTATTGTTTTCATTGCCTGCCTGGTCAAATGCCCACAGTTTGACTGTGTATTCTAACACAAGAAGAACAGGAGTGCTTTATCACTGTATGATGACATGGTTTGTTATGAGAACAAGTCAACATCAGGAAATCTTCTGAAGAGTAGAGTTCTAAAACTAAGAATTTCCTTTCCATAATTTTGAAATGACAGGATATTCTTTCATCATAGTAAGTGGTTTTACTCTAAAGCTTTCTACAAATATTGAACATCTTCAAGTTTAGTTACATGTTAATAACTCATATAAGAAAACTGATAATATCTTTCTTGGGATAAGAGCTTGTTCTTACAGTTAATGAAAAACTGGAGATAAAGTGTTTATAGCTTATGCCTAAATTATGAATTCACTAGACTGTGTATGTGAGATGAGTAATCTCAATGCAGCGTACACTTCGCTTCTAAATTTCTCTTTCAATTTGAAGATGAAGTTGGTATGTGGCTTCATCCTGGAACCTCGGCTACTAGTTCAGCAGAGGAAAGGACAGATTGTTCCTACTGAACTTGCAGTTCACTTGAAGGGAGCTCAGCCTGGATTGCTTGTGGCTTCAGTCCTAGGCTTGCAGAAGAACAATAAAATTGGAGTTGAAGAAGCAGATTCTCTCTTTAAGGTTTGTCCATTTAAAAATGTAATTTTGCTGAGTGACCTGATAGAAATCAAAAGGGAGGGGACAAAATTAAAGAAGTGAGTTTTCATTTGTTATCAAAAAGACAGATCCACATAATCAGTTTATAACATAAAAGTACAAAGTAAAAGAAAATTTCTGGAAAATTCTACTCATGCATCCTAGAATCTGTTTCTTAAGAAAAATGTTTAACTTTTTTTTGACATGTAAGTGAAGCCTGTGGTAAAAAATATTAATTGCATGGTCCACATAGTGGAGTGATCCCTCTGCTGTAACTTGATGGGTGTTGCATTTGTTTTATATATACTGTTTTCAAGGTGCTCTGTGGTAAGGATGAAGATATAATTCCTCAGCTCTTGATAGACCTCTGGGAAGCTCAACTTGTAGCCCGTCTCCCAAATGTGGTCCTTCAGGAACTGTGCTTCAAGCTCACGTCTCAGTACATCTGCAGATTATCTAAGAGGCAGTCTCCTGACACCACACCATTGAGAACAGCAGAGGATTTGGTAAGATAATGGAGTAGCACCTTAAATGCAGATGTTCACCGAATAGTCTACATTCGTGCTTTTATTTTTAATTTTCTTCTTCTGAAAAATTTTTTATTTTACTTAGTTTTATTTTGTGTGTATGAGTGTTTTGTCTGCGTGTATATAAGTGTACCCATGCATGCAATGTCCAAAGAGGCCAGAAGAGGGCTTTGGGTCCCCTTGAAACTGGAGTTACAGCTGGTTGTGAGCTGCCATGTGGGTGCTATGAACGGAACCCAGGTCCTCTGCAAGGGCAGCCAGTGCTCTTAGCCGCTGAGCCATCGCTCCAGCCCCAGTTTTACCTTATTTATAAATGGGTGTGTGTATGCGTATTTGTGTATGTACAGATGCACATGCATGTGTGTGTAGAAGACAGAAGCCAGAGGACTATCTCAGGTATCGTTCTCAGGAACTCTCTTCACCTCCCTTGAGACGGGGTCTCTCTTTGCCTAGGAGTTTACCAATTAAGCTAGACTAGCTACACAGAGAGCCCCAGGGATCCCCCCATCTCTTCCTCCTTAGCACTGGAATTGCAAATGCCTACCACCACATCTGGCATTTTTTAATGGGTTTCTGGGGATTGAGTGTAGGTCCTTATGCTTGTGAGGTAAGCACATTACCTCCTGAGTCACTCTTCCTGGCCCCTACCTTCTTCTTTTTAATGACTTAGAACCAGACCTAGTATTCTATTACCAGATATTTAAACTGTAGATACAAATTTGGCTAAAACTTACCTATGACTCAAGTATCAACATTTTACATACTTTTCTATTCTTGAGACTAGCCCCTAGGGCTGCTGAGAAGGCTCAGCATGTAAAGGCACTTGCTTCAAAGCCTAAGGACCTGAGTTCCACCCCTTGGACCCACATGGTGGAAGGAGAGATCGGACTCTTAAAAGTTTTCCTCTGACTGTCGTCTGTACTGTTACACGTGTGCCCATACACACAGACATGCGCACATACAAATAAATACAAATTTAAAGATTACCCTTGCATTCCTTTTATTGCTATGTTGCAGTGTCAAAACATGTGGGAAGGGGCTTTCCCCAGATCACAGACTTGTCTGCACTAGGATTCTTACACAGAACATGTAAGAAGGGACCCCTACAGCTTCCCTGGGAGATGAATTTCGGAAGGCCATGGGAGGGAGGCTGCCACGTTGTCTCCATTTCCTGTCAGCCACACACCCAGGGGCTGTTCTAGGCAGCATCTGTTTTCATCTTACAGTCTCTTTGCTGTGAACGCCATGGCTAATGTACATTAACTGAGAGACCACCAGTTTCTTGAATTAAACTTGATTCCTTGAGAATTATCTCAAGACCTGATAAAGATATTTTGCCACCTAAATAATGGTATAAGCAAAAATTACTTGCAGTATTACTGTTAACTCTCTTGAAGTATAATCTTAAAAGCAATTATCGGTCTCTTTTCTTGGAGGCACTTCTTTAGAATATTTATAATATATGGAAATATTTGTTGCAGATTATTTGATGTGGAAGCAACAGCCTGCAGCCTTTCCCGGGAAAGACTTCCTTTTCCTAGGAAAGTGTGTATCTGATTCTGATGTGCAGCAGAGGGTCAATGATGATTCACATTTTGTGAATGAAGAGGGTTGTTTGGGATTTTTCCCATTATATTTTGCTTATGATGCATTTCTTTAATGTTTCAGATAAATGCCTGTAGTCATTATGGCTTAATCTACCCATGGGTTCATGTCTTGATATCATCTGATTCCTTAGCTGATAAAAATTACACAGAAGACCTTTTGAAACTGCAGGTAAGTAAAAATACCTCTTTTCTCTTAAATATGCAGTATATTACAATTTTTTGAGACAGGGTCTCCCTGTAGTCCCAGCTGACCTGAACTCACTATGTAGACCAGGCTGGCCTTGAACTCAGAAAGATCCACCTGCCCCTGCCTCCCAAGTGCTGGGATTAAAGGCATGTGCCACCACGTCAAGTGTCATTTTAATTTAGAATGTAACTTGGGGAGAGATGTGGGCAAAAATCTATAATTGGGTATGCTTAAGAGCTTTGGTGGAATTCCAGCTTCTGCTGGGGACTGCTGGTGGGTTAGGCACCAAGACTGAGATGGTGTCAATGCAGTAAATGGGCGAGCTTCAAGGACTGTGACTGCTATCCTCACTTTCACGACCTACAAAACTTTTGTGAAATAAAAGTGTGTGGATATGTAGTGGCATTTTTATGAATGTAATCTTTATGTACCTTAACATAATTTAGACTTCTAACTCAAGCCAACCACTGCTAGCTCTCAGTCAAAGCAGCCAATTTATCTGATTCCTGAAGAGAAAAAAAAAAAAGTAGTGGGACACAATTTGAGAAGTTAGATTATCTTGTAAAAGTTCTGACTATAACCATTTCCACTAGAAGAGAGAAACACTGCATTTGACTTGCTGGGTCAGGTTGGGCTAAATGTACAACTCATTTAATATGGTTCATTGACCCAAGGACCAAATTTAATGCTCGCATTTATTTTGTTTGATCTGCCCACTGTAGCTGGCAATATAGAAAAATTATTTCATATTAAGAATTCTGAGTTTGAAGATACTCTTGAAAGAGCCAGGCATACTAGGCCCGTAGGCCCTCCACTGATTCCGACAGAGCTGACCCTAGCTCCTGTCTCAGCGGGGCACAGCCTGTCTCTTTGCACCACCTTCAACCCCATGACTTCTGACCCAGATGCTGAGGGTCTCATGTCTGTTTTCCTTATACCCAGCTGCCTTCATGTATTTTCCCTCTGCTTAGCCCCATTAAGCTTTTGAGTGTGTGGTTCCTGATTGAAACTTTGGGATTTGGTCTAAGTGTGGTTATATTGATTACAGAACCAGTTCCCAAACTGGGGCTGGGCTGGGGGAGTTCAAGGAGCCGGATTGTTTAGACTCAGGCTCCAGACATGTGTTGGCTACCTTCCTGTTTTAAAAATCTTTAAAAAGAATTGGACATGCTGGTGCATGTCTATAATTCTAGCATTTCGAAGGCTGAGATTAAAGGACGATGAATTGCAAGTCTAGCCTGGTCTATACAGAAAGACATTGTCTCAAAAATCGATAAGCTAGTTCATTAATTAACCACAACAAGATACCATCAAAGAAGATTCTCTCCTTATCTCTTATCTCTAGTGTCCTTAAGTGCTGACACTTCTGAGGTTAGCTTAGGATAGGATACATTTTGTTTTGTTGTTGTTGTTTTGAGACAGGGTCTCCCTGTGACCCCAGCTGGCCTGGAATTTGCTATATAGACCAGGCTGGCCTCAATCTCATAGAGATCCACCCACCTCTGCCTCCCAAGTGCTAGGATTAAAGACACATGCCACTATGCCTGACTAGATGTTTTATGAATATTATTTGGGTGTGAGGTGTAAATGTGGTAGACAGCATTAGGCCTTGTGCTCCCAAAACACATACAGAAATGTTGTATTTAAAATTAAACTTGTAATAATTGCTATTAAATTTCTACTGGTAAAGCTTCAAAGTACATTTATAATCACTGTCCCAAAATTATAATTCAATGATCAATGAAAATCCTTTTAAAGTATCTTAAAAGGCTTTTTTAATGGCAGTTTTTGCTATTTTGGTTTGAAATATTGTCTGACTAAACCTTTCTAAATTTTTTTCCTACTTAAACTTCTTTCTAAAGGTTACCTGAGGCTATATAGTCTTGGTCATTAAGAAAATAAAACAGTGCTAGAGAGATGGCTCAGTGGTTAAGAGCACTGGCTGCTTTTCTGGAGGACCTGGGTTCAATTCCCAGCACCCACATGGTGGCTAACAACTGTCCATAACTCTAGTTCCAGGGGAATCCAACGCCCTCTTCTGACTTCCCCAGGCATTGTACAACATAGGTGCAGTTCATATACATAAAATAAAAATAATAAATAAAATCACTTAAAAATACATAAAATAACCATCCAAACCTGGTACCACTCAGGAGGCAGAGGCAGGCAAATCTTTGTAAGAGTGAGGCCAGCCTGCTCTAAATAGCTCCAGGCCAGCTAGGGCTACAGGGAGACCCTGTCTCAAAAACAACAACAAAAAAAAACCCCAAATTTCTTTGGTTCCCACTTTTAAGTGTTGGGAGGTTTAGAATCATGTGAGAACGTTTGCAAAACTGTGGTTCTCTTCCCATCTCCATGGTTGTGGTGTGTTGGTCCTCAGTCACTGTAAGAATATGTGCAGCAGTTAAGATAGAAAGTTATAAATCATGGCTGTGTTGAAGAGCTACTGTTTGAGAGAACACAATAACCAGTAAAGGTCTTACTCTTTGCTGGTGTTGTCCTGGTTCTCCTCCCATGTGCCCTGGCAGGTGTAAGTAGAGAAACCTGTGGATTGTATCCCTGCAGAATCAGAGTGGGAGAGAGGGGTCTTGGTTGGAGAAAGGAACAAATAATGCAACTGTTAAGGGTGGAGAGAGTCAACTTCCACTATTGAAAACAAATGGAGAACTTTAAGGTAGACAACACGACAGTGCTTTACAGAGTAGTAAGAATCTTTGGGCCGTTTTTACTCCCGTCACGCTTTGTTCAGTGTTGCTTTTTCCTTTTCTTTTTGACCGTGTCTTACTATATAGCCAGGCTGCTAGGAATTCACTATATAGCTTACACTGCCATCGAGTTTGGGATCCTCAAGACTTCACCTTCTGTTTTTTTTTTAATTTTATGTATATGAGTGTTTTGCCTGTATGTATGTAAGTGTACCATGTGCACACAATGCCATATGGGTGCTGAAAATCAAACCCAGGTCCTCTGCAAGAGCAGCCAGTGCTCTTAGCCACTGAGCCATCTCTCCAGCCCCTGGCTTTACCTCTTGTGTGCTGGGTTTACAGGGCTTTGATCTGATAACTGTCTAAGTGTTGTGTAGTGTTACTTAACCGTGTACTCCATTTCGTACTCAGTTTTGACTAGTTTGGTTTTACCTGTGGTTGACACCCATGCTTTTGCTTCTTCTTCCTGCCCCAGCCTTTATCCTGTCTAATCAAGGGCTGAGTAAACAAGTAATCCGTGCTTTCTTTCATGATGAGAGATGTTATGAGTGAGAGAATCTGACTTTATCTTTTCTACTTGATCATCAGGAAATTACTCAAGTAAATACATTATTAAGCTTGAGATAAGAAAAGAGACCAACCTTACTTTCCTGACCATTCCTCTGTAGATATTTGGAATAAAATAACCATGCTGATTGAAAGTATATAGTTGATGTTCCATCGCCTCCTGTAACTCTGAAAAGATGCTGTAGCCAAAAAAAGATACAGGGAAGGAAATTAGGGCATGACTATAGATAGCTCTTACAGGAGTAGGAAAATGGAGATTATTTTGATGATAGAATTGAAAATGCTATAGTGTTTAAATGGAAAATACTAGTAAATTTATAGATATTGAAGTAATAACCTGTGCACTGTCATTCAGCTTGGGACAAGTGGTATTGATACAAATGACCAGGTTCTAAGTGATCACTTTCTCAAATTTGTAAATTGTATTTATTTGTGCATGCATGTGTGCAAGTGTGTGTGTTTGTGTATGTGTGTGTGTGTGTGTGTGTATGTGTGTGTGTGTGTGTGTATGCATGCGTGCCAAAGTACATGTGTGGAGGTCAGAAGAAAATTTGTAAGGGTTGGTTCTCTCCTTCCATCATAGGGATTGAACTCAAGTTATCAAGCCTGATGGCAACCGCCCTTCTCTACTGAGTCATCTCACCAGCCCATGATCACTTTTTATTTTTTATGTTAAATTTTATTTTTGGTTATTGTACTAGTTTGATCTCTGTTATTATGACAAACATCATGACCAAAAGCAACTTAGCGGAAGAGAGGGTTTATTTGGTTTACACTTCCATGTCACAGTCCATCACTGAAAGAAGCCAGGGCAGGACCTCAAGCAGGAGCCTGAAGGCAGACCTGCTTGCTAGTCCAGGCAGCATTACCTCTGATTGGGGAGCTCACGCACAGCCAAGGAAGCACAGCAGAAACCATGGAGGATGCTGCTTGCTGGTTCACCCACAGGCTCATGCATACCTCACTTTCTTATACAGCCCAGGACCACCTGTCCAGAGAATGGTGTTGCCCACCGTGGACTGGGCCCTTCTCCATCAATTAAGGCAAGACAGTCTCTCATAGACAAACCCACAGATGGACCTGATAAAGGAAATTACTCCTTGAGACCTTTTTTTCCTTCAGGTGATTCTAGTCTGTGTCAAGATGACAGTTAATGCTAACCAGGACACACACACACACACACACACACACACACACACACACTCTCTCTCTCTCTCTCTCTCTCTCTCTCTCTCTCTGAAAATTTGGAAAAGACAGGGAAATGTAAAAAGAAAACTAAAAGGGGGCTTTGTCCTCCCATTCAGTGAGCTAATCTCTGTTCCAAATTGCCGGCCCTCCTCTAGAGATAAGTGAATATACATGTACACTTGCATGGTTTTTATAAAATTGGACATGCTCTGAATATAATTTTATATTGAGATGTTTTAATTCATTTTGTCATGATTATTTTCTCCTTAGCTAGTGATTGCATAACATTCGACTATGGCTATACCAAAATTGATCTCATCCCTTACTGTTGAACATTTAGATCACTTATGATCTTTCAGTGTTAGGAATACTCCTCTTGTGCTGAACATTATTGGGCATAAATCTTTGCACACATGCTGATTATTTCCTTAGGTTAGAGTCCTAAAGTTTTAATTTACCCAAAGCAAGTAAAATGTTATTTAAAATGATTGTTTTGAATTAAATATATATATATATATATCTTTATATCTTTAAACTACAGGTGGATTTAAGATTATTTAATACTTCTATCCACTTAGACTTATTAAATAAAGACCATATTCATGGGTTCTAAAATTGCATTTTCCCTGCACTTTTGGCAAATGAAGTTCCATCTTTTTGAAAAAAGCTGTGTGCTCTGTGTGGTTTTCGGTTCTTTGGACGCCTCATTCCATAACATTTCACTTTTCTGTTCATAGTCTCTCATATGTGGTCCTTCATTTGACATAGCTTCCATTACTCCATTCTTGGAGCCACTCTCAGAAGACACCGCTGCCGGCCTCAGTGTTCACGTTCTGTGTCGCACACGCCTGAAGGAGTATGAACAGTGCATAGACACACTGTTAGAGCGGTGCCCCGAGGCCCTCATTCCTTATGCTAATCACCAGCTGAAAGAAGAGAACCGGGTATGCCTGATCTGTGATTCCAAGATTTGGTGATCTTGTCTGCAAAATGAGATGTATTTACATTCATCTATCTTTATAGGGCTGTGTGTCCAAAGAACGTAGATGCTTAATGCTAGACCTTTTAAGTACTTATAAATGCTATTGAAATGCATAGGATGATGTAGCTCATTTAAAAGCTTTTGTTTGCAGAGGAAGTGGGCACTTAGTTGAAGGTGGGGAATAATGTATGGTGAAGAAATATTTTTTTTGTAGTATGGTCTTTAATTTTAAAATTAGAAGACTTTTAGTTTGTAGTGAGTTTTCTTTTCTTCATTGCCAGTCACAATAATAAGAGGACATAGCCATGTTTCTCCTTGAAAACAGCCATGCACACTTCAAGCTACAACCTCACTTTCATTCCCGTTTAAGCAGAAGCCCAGCTGCTGGTAGAATTTCTGTCATAACAAAATGCTGCCTCAACCAAATGCTAGATTTTTTACCGCCTGTGCTTTCCTGCACAGTCTTCTCGTCCTCATTGGAAATCTGAGCATAAGATGCTTCAAACTAAAATGTATTCGCTTTTTCCCAAGCTAGATTCTGTGGTGGAAAAAACTACTACCCGAACTGTGTGAGAAGATGAAGTGTGGGGGAGAAAAACGTCAGCTTTACCTGTCATCATTAAAAGGTAAAATTCTCTTTTCTAGATGGCTCTAAACTTTAATTTATTTGACAAGGCCTTTGTATCTCTAGTATTCTTTGTTTGTTTTTTCATGATGTCAAGCGAGGTGAAGGGGCCTAGGGACTGTTGGAAGAGTTGTCCTGCTTTCATAAGCCTTTGTTACATTTGCTGCTCATCTGTCTCTCGTGTTCTGAATTAACATTTTCAGACTTTTAACAAATTATCCACGGAAACTCATAGTCCCACTATTTTAGAAATTTGGACTATTAAATTTAAATTTACTTTTAAATTTACTTCATGTGGGAAGATTATTAAATGTACTGTAAGTATCAAAGAATGACAAGTTCTTCAAGGATTTAAAACCTGAATGTGTAAATTATACAGGTGAGATTTTTTTTTTTGTTTTATTTTGGGTTTTGATGGGTTGTGTTTTTTGTTTTTTGGGTTGTTTTGGGGGTTTTTGGGGTTTTTTTGTTTGTTTGTTTGGTTGGTTTTGTTTTTTGAAATAGGGTCTCATTATATAGCATTCACTGTCCTGCAACTCACTATGTAGACCAGGCTGGCCTTGAATTCACACAGATCTGCCTGCCTCTGCCTTTTATGATGTATTTTGGGAAGGAGGGATTTGAGTGTGCCACAGTACATGTGTGGACGTCAGAGGACAACTTACAGTCTGTCCTTCCATGGAATGGGTTTTGGGGATTGAACTCTGGGTCGTCTGACTTAGCGGCAAGTGCCTTTACTTGCCAAGCTATCTCACTGGCCCCACGTAATATCTTTAAAGTTGATTGTGTTGAATGTATGTCTTCCAGTTGAGGTAATAGATTTTTAAATGTTAGGCAGATCTAATGACTTTTGGAAGTTGTTTTTCTGAATATCCCACTTAAAATTTTATGTTTCTGATGAGGACAAGAAAGAGGTGACTTTCTAATAACTCTGTCCTCCCTGATCCACTTCCTGAGTGCTTTCTGTTTTCAGAAGATGGACATGGGAGGTGTTTGGTTGCCACAGCACTTGACTCAAGTTTATCTTACAATTTATCATGATGTTGGTGTTTGGGGATCCCTCTCCCTGACAGACATCCCCTCTTCACATCTCAGCAGTGTCATTATGCAATCAAAAGACTCTTCATCCTTTTCATAATTTTTATTTACATTTACTCATTCATTTATTTAGTGCATGTGTGTATACGCACACACATGCCTGCATGCACTCACATGCATGTGCACATGGAAGTCAGAGAGCTACTTTGGGGAGTTGGCTCTTTCCTTCCATTGTGTTTGTCCCAGGGATCTTAAATCTTCAGAGTCGGTGATAGGTCCCTTAATCCATTGAGCCATCTCCCCAGCCTTCTTTCAGCCCTTGACTGGCATCCACATCCATCTGCCCCTACCCTATTCATCATTATTTCTCTAAATGTTCCACTTTCTGTTACTTTCAGAACATGCTTGTGTGCGTGCACACATGGATGTATGTGTGTGGCTGAAATGCTGAGTTCCTGGTTTTAGACTGTAATAGTTCAAAGGCGGACATAGAGTTTTGTTCCTTTTCACAGTGTGCCCGCATCAGCGCTGTGCTCCCACAGGAAACAGTCTGTAGCTATTTACTGATGGGAAGGAAAGAAATGAAGAACTTCAGTTCCACTTCTCTGAGGTCATCCTGCTGACATTAGGACACTGAGAAGAACCGGGGATTAGAGGCTGGGGATTTGGAACTGAGTTCTATGCCTGACATGTACTGAGTGATCTGGAACAAGCCAGTTTTAAAAACATCGTTAGACTGCTGAGAAGTTCAGGACTGAATTCTAGAGGAAAATGTTGGATAAAATTACAAGATTAGGTTGAAGATGGAGGTCAGGAACTTACATGACACATTTAGGAAGTTGGAGATTTTTTATCTTTCTAATGCAGTTTCACCCAAAATTGTTGCTTTGGGGTTTGGAAAATTATCTGTGCAGGGAAGGGTTCCTTCCCATTCAATTAAGGATGTTAATCAGCATCTCTGATTTCTACCTGCTGGATGCCAGCACCACCACCCCGCGATGACTTATACAGGTATCTCCAGATGTTGCCAGATGTTCCCTAGAGGACAGAATTAGCTGAGTTGAGGACCACTACATCAAGGCAGGGCCATTCAAATTGAAATGAGTGGGTTGGCTTGTTTAAGGAAGGACTTGTTAATGATTTTGAAACAATGAACTGCTTTTATTTATTTTTTAATCTAATATTGTAATAGATTCCAAAAATAAGGTTTTAAAAGTCATTTGAACTTCAGACAGTAAAAATAACTATTTTTAACAGTTGATGAATGCATTGTAGACACGCTGGGAGATTTTAAACATACAGGTTTGCCCATAGCTAGACATTCTTGGATAACTCATAGATTTGGGTATCTAGTGAGTAGGATAAAGCACATCACTCTTATCTTTCTGGTGCATGTATGTGTTGTATGTGTGTGGTGTACCTGCATCAGCATATGTATATTTGCATGTGTGTGAACACGTTTGGGTATGTGTGCTATGAAGTTGATATCAGGTATCTTCCTTGATCACTCTCCATCTTATAGATTGAGGCAGGGTCTGTCTCTGCACCCAGAGCTCACTGTTTTGGCTAGGCTGGCTAGCCAGCTTGCTCTGGAAATTCCGTTTCTGGCCGTTTGCACACTGGGACTACAGGTGAGCCACTATGACTATCTGGATTTGTATGGGTCCTGAGGCTTCAAACTCCAGTCTTCTTCTTTGCATAGCAAGTGCTTTTCCCACTGAGCCATCTCCCCAGCCTCCATTTTATTTATTTATTTATTTATTTATTTATTTATTTATTTGGTTGGTTAGTTAGTTAGTTAGTTGTTAATCGATTTATTATTTTGTTTGTGTGTGCACATGTGTTCACATGCATGATGGTGTACATGTGGAGGTCAGAGGACAGCTTGGTGGAGTTGGTTCTCTCCGTCTACCTTTATGTGGGTTCTGTGGAGCAAACTCAGGTGGTCAGGTTGAGGTAGCACACACCTTTACCCCCGAGCCATCTTACTAGGTCCCCCAAGCCCATTTTAATCTTTTCTTAGCTTCAATTTCCCCAGCTGAACCAGGCATGAAACCTATTGGTATATCTTCTTTGGGATGAGGCTTGAATTAAATAAATGAAAACAGAAAGATTTAGGAAAAACTAAATGAGAAGTTGTGCCCAGCTTTTAAGGTAATGTGCAGATTTCAGGTTTTGACCGTATTCTTGGAGTTCTCATTTATATTAGGTCCTCAGCTGGTAGGAGCAGAGAAGACACGCACAGTGGTGAGATCTTTATTGACTCTAGCTGCTCGGTACTGACTGAGTAAAAGTCACTGTATCTAGGTTACTGCTTATAAGCTCCACATTTAGAGAACTGAACTGGTGTGATAGGAAAACATTAATTCATGTGTTTCATGTGGGTTTGGCAAACTGCTAGCGGTTTCTATTTATTTTGTCATCTTCTGTGTCAGACACACCTCCTGTTTCAATTCTCACAAGCTAGCTGATGGCACCACCACATTATAGTTGAGGGAACGAGGACTTGGAGGTTAGGGAGCTTTCTTAAAATCACTCAGCATGTGGGCTGAAGAGTCTTGATCCCTTCTTGGCTATATCTGATTCTAGAACAAGAAATCCTTCCCATATGTCACTGCTGCTGAATTCATTAACATTTTAGTGACAAGGACAGGTCATGCCTTTGTGTAAAGGATGATTTAGACTGCTGAATATTGAACAGGTGACTTTGGGTGGGTTTTATATTACATTAGCTCTGCAGATGTTTAAGGATCACACAGGGCGACACTGAAGCATGGGTAGACATGGAAGAAGAATGTTTTCCTAGGAACGAACAATGTCATGAAGACACCGTTACTTTTTATTCATTTGTTTTTGTGAGGGTTGTGGTGCACACTTGGGCATGTGTGATTGTGGAAGCCAGAGGTCAGTCTTGGGTATTATTCCTCAGGCATGGTCCACTTTGATTTTTGAGACGGAATCTCTGACTAGGATCTTGGGCTCAGCAGTTAGGCTAAGTTGGCTGACCATTGAGCTACAGGGATCCACCCCTCTCCACCTTCCTAGAGCTGGGATTATAGGCCTGGCTTTTTTACATGGTACTGGGGATTAAACTCAGGTCTTCATGCTTATGTGGCAAACACTTCACCAACTGGGCTATCTACTCAGCCCTCTGAAGACATTGTTGCTAGGAGAGGGCAGCATTTATTTACTTAGAAGTAGTAGAAACATAAAATTACATCATTTTCTTTACAAAAATGTTTGGTAAATCCCTCCCCCCCTTTTTTTTTCCTTGGTGCTGGTGAGTGAACCCAGGAAATTACATATACAAGATAATGGCTCTGTTACTAAATATATCCCTAACTAATAAATTCCTTAATATTGAAAATGTTTACTAGAGCACTCTACTCTGCTAATAGAAGAAAAGGCATATAAGAGATTTGTGCTTATTAATATGACATTCTCATTATAGCTCGGAACCTATTTGGGAAAAAGGTTTCTACTAGATAACTCTATTCCCGTTCTAGCAAACAAGCGTTATGTATTATCTGACTACAGCCCTAACATTCAAGCAGTATTCGAGTGATTGTATTTTTCTTTAGAAAATAGTAGAAATTGATTGAAAAATAATGTAGCAATCTGGCAGTGAAGCAGTAACTCCAAATCTCAGGGGATCAAATTAAAATACACTTGAAAGGACTCTAGAAGGCCTAAATTAAGAAGTTGTGAAATCATGAGCTTAATATGTGGATTTGAGACAATTTTTATCTTTGTAATTATAACATCCTGTTACTTGAAGTAGCTCTGAATCAATAAGAGGAAAATTGGATGAAAACAGCTTTTAGTTCTAACTCAGATACTCTTTCCCACCAACAGAAACCTTGTCCGTTGTTGCTGTGGAACTGGACCTGAAGGATTTCTTGAATGTCCTCCCGGAAGACGGCACTGCAGCGTTTTTCTTGCCCTACCTTCTCTACTGCAGTCGGAAGAAACCGTTGACTTGAAGTATCATTTGCAAAACAGTAGCACGAGAGACTGAACTTTTCACTACTCCACGTCTGATAGAAATACACACAAAGGATTTTTGTATTATGTGTATTACGGATGCTTTAAGGACGCTTACCTTACCATGTAATTGTAGCTATTAACTTCCTAATTTAAAACCCAAATTTAATTGTCCAGAATATAAAGCTTTAAGACCTAAGAATTCTTCAAAGAAGCCGTAAATTCTCTTCTTGTTCTTTGGGTTTTTGGTCTGTAGACTATGTTCGCCTAGAGCTCACTGTGAAGCTCTTCCTGCCCTCAGACTCACGGTGTTCCTCCCAAGTATTCTAGGTGTGCACCGTGCCTGGCTAAAAAGCCATGTCGTTTTTAGAGGTGGAGACTGACTTTTTTTTTTGAGGATCCACATTTCATTCCAATGACAATGTCATTCATGACAATCTTTCACACCGCAGAATCACTTAAAGGAAACACATTGCAAGTGTGTTTGACTGATACTCTTAAGTGGTCAAATGTTTTGTCATCTTGATTTTTACAGATTTTCCTATTGGGTTACTGTTATTTTAGTTTCACCACAGTAAAAGATTGCATCCTTGGTTTTCTAGTTACTTTTAAAGCTGTGTTTTTCTCTGAATGAAAGGAATGGAAGTTTACAAAGTGGCTTCTTGTCCAGCTGTGAACGTGACCTGTTGAGTGCACATCTTTTCAGCCAAAGCCTTGTTTCTATTTTTATTTATATGTACATACTATTACTCTTTCAACGAGAATATATGTGAAAATAAAAAATTCTATCTGATATTCAGATCTGTCTTTTGAGTAACCTTTTATTCAAGATTGTAGAGTCTCACTGCAGCTCATTGATGGAGTCCATCGAGTCCTGTTAAGGCAAAGCTTCTATTTGGTAGTGTCTGAAGTCCTTCTCTTACTGGCAGTTCTTATTATTTTATTATCTTAATTTTATTTTTGCCAAGATTTGATAGTGCTTGTTGGACTCTGCCTTTCTCTGGATCCAGACAGCAGCGTTTTGACTCCTTTTGGGTTTCAACAAAGCTCAGCTTGCCGTCTTTATTTTTCTTCCTCTTCTGCACTCTGGCACCCCCATGCCCAGTGGCTTGTTGGGAATGATGTGAGTAGCCCATTAGAGGTACGGAGGAGGAGGCAAGAGCTAGAGACAGTTCAATGAACTTTAATAGAGATCCTGTGAAGACCACCCAGGACGGCATGGGGTCATTTTTTTTTAATAGAGATCCTGTGAAGACCAACCAGGACGGCATGGGGTCATTTTTTTTAATAGAGATCCTGTGAAGACCACCCAGGACGGCATGGGGTGATTTTTTTT